CTAGATGTATTCTGTTCGCTCCACTGCCCATTTACTTTGTTTTCCTTTGAAGCAATAGAGATTGGCCACAGCAGGAGACCAGAAGCAGGATGGGGTGGAACAGTACTACGAGCCAATACAGAGAATCATCTTTCCACATGGGGTCCTGCTCTTGTGCAGAGGGCCAGATTTGGATCAGAAAGGAAGGGCTCCCAGAGGACTGGCAGGAAGGGGAGAGGGCTCCCACACCTTCTCTTTGTCTAGGATCATCCATCTCACCTAATGCACTTGCTATTGCAGGAGCCTCAGGCATTTGAAGACAACTTGGTGTCTCCCATTCTCTACCTGCAATATAATGAGTTAGTCTTCTGAGGCCTGAATTGTTCTAGCCCAAAGGTTAGCAGCCTTTTAGGAGTGGCAGGCCGAAGCACTGCCGCTTGGGCCAAAGGCAGGCCACCTCTGCTTCCCTTGCCATTCCTTTGTCACCAAATGTCAGCTTCCCCTACCACATGAAGTCAAGCCCCAACCCTACTGCTGCTGAATGATACTGTATGCTACCAATTCCTCCCATCAAGTGCCACTGTGGGCTACATCAAACCTCTGTGGGATGGATCCAGCCCACGGGCCATAGGCTTCCAAACCCTGCTCTAGTCCAATTAAGGTCCCTGAACTTAACATACGGCTCTGAGTTAAACCTTATGTCCTGATGCTCAGACAGTCAGACTGGATGATTTAATTGCCCCCTTTTGCATTAGTCTTAGGTGACACCCAAATGAAATTAAAATTCAGCTGAGTCTCTCAATCATCAATTAAAAAAAGATCTTCCTGGTTACAGAAAAATGGAAGGCGACTCACTATGCCCTAACAAAGGGCAAAAGCTGGCCTTAAATGCCTTATTTTCCAAGAGGATGATGTCTGCACCTACCTATGGATTACAGAAATAAAAAAAAATAATAAGATAAAGGATAATAAATTGGATGACAGCATCAGTTTATCACAAACCTCATTAAGCAAGAACCAAAGGTTGACAAAGTCTAACCAGCAACCAAACCTTGATTTCTCAAGAGAAACCAGGGGTTGAGATTTTCAGAGACAGGAGACTAAAGGTGAGTATCTAAATCTGGCACTTACAAATAGCTAGATTTTTCCTAAGTGCCCACCACCCAGAAGTTCCTAGAGATCACAGGGAGCTGTCAGCTGCTCAGCAGTTGAGAGAGAGGCCATTATCTACATGCCTAACTGGGTTCCTTTTTTTTTTTTTTTTTTTTAAACCTGAAAAAAAATCTCTCAGCACAGAAATCTTCTCCATGTTAAGCCCAGGATACATACACTGTAGACTGCAGTTTAACATAACAAGGTATCTTAGCTAGCTTGGGTACTACCAGCAGTCTAGATACAACAGCCTGGAGCTCTGTTCAGGCTAAATTTACCATGTTGCCACGGCTAGACTTCTTCCAGTGTCTGAACTAGCTTAGGCATTTCTGACACTGTAGTCAGAAGTATATAGATGCCCTCAATGCTACTCACTGACACAGATTTAGCAGACACACTTGGCTAGGACCCCAGTCTTTATATAATCTCTCCAGGTGTCCCTTAGAGCCAGCCCCAGATGTAGTTTCTTCCTAAGGGCAAGCCCCATGCCTCCTTAACTCCAGGCCTATTTGTCCCAATGCTTCTGTTCAGGTTTGTGAAAGCCTGTTTTAAATCAACTGCTGATGAAGACTTCACCCAGGACACTTCTGCAAATGAACTCAACATTTATTTGTCAGCTGGAACACAGCAGGCTGAATCCCAAGTCAGAACAGCCCAGCTAAACTTAAGACTGCCACATCACTCTGGAATCCACCTTGTGTCTCTGCCCATTTCAGTCTGCCTGTCTCCTCTGCCGTGCTTAAACAGTCTCACCACCTGGTCAACTTGCCTTAACACAGCTCTTGGATCTTGGTCATTAGAAGATCATTCACCAAGGTGTTCCTGCACCTTCCTCATGTGAACAGTTATATTCACTCCTCAAGTGCTCATATCACATCAAGCAAACATGCAATCCCCCCCTCTTCCAGTCCAGAATGGGAGTTAAACCATCCAGCCATAGTCTATGACCACACACAGGAAAGCAGGAAAATGAGAAACATCCAAACACCCCCACATGCTCTACGTTTGCCGAGTTAGTGTGGAAAGAGGCAACATTCTTACTGCTGGAAATGCCTGAGGATTAATTCACATTATTAAATGATTTGAACAACATGAGCAGTACCTTGCAGGAGTTGGAGGTCTTTGTGAATTTAGCAAACTGTTCTACAGCCTACATGCGAGCTGGCATAAACAGCTCATATGCATTTCTGTCCCTGGTACCTAGCACGTATCCTGGGGCAGGCAAAATACGGCCTGCAGGCCGGATCTGGCCCACCAGGCCATTCTGTCTGGCCCGCAGGGCCCCTCTAAAATTTAGACGATTATTACCCAACAAGGTGCTGGCAGCAGGAGCCACCGGCTGCAGCACCAAGTAGGCTGGGCTCTGGCTGCAACATGACCAACCCCAACCTGACCCACCCCACCCTGCTCCACCATGCCCACACCCTCCAGCCTAGCAGAGGCTCCTGCCCCAGCAACCCTGTCCCCAGCCCTCCCTCCCTCCAAGAGTGGAAATTCAGGTAAGAACAGGCTGGGGGCAGGGTGGACTGCCAGCGATGGCTCTACTCCATGGGGCTGAAGGGACTGGCTCTGTGCTTCCATGTGCTGCTCCCGGCTAGAGTGCCAGGAGCACCACATGGAGGAATGGAGCCGGCCCAGCCTGATGGCGTGAGACTTCCCACAGCTCCTGGCACTCTACCACACCACCAGGCCAGGTTGGCTCCATGCTGTGCTGTGTGGGTCTGGGCAACACAGCTGGAGCCGCGTTCTGCCAAGAAGGGACGGGCTGGTTCTGTGGGATGGCTGGACCAGCTCCATGCCTCCACGTGGCCCAACCTCCATGTGTGCAGCACAGAGCCAGCCCGGCCCATCCCGTACCTTCCCAGCAGCACATGGTCTTAGTTTCTCACTCTAGCCATCACAAACTCGGTACTGAAAGTGGACTGGCACCAAAATCTGAGGGAAAGCAAAGTAAGACAAATAATTAAAATAGCATTAGACTGGAAGATCTGTTAGCTCGTAGACTGCTGGCTTGAACATCCTGTCTATACCATTTGGAAGCTGGCAGATCTGGTTTTACACACTTTCAGATCAAAAATCAGGTCAGGCTATCCAGAATGTAAGTATAGCATGATCCACACCATACACCTAGGTAGCTTTTAGTCCGCAAGGAAAGAAGCACTTTGTGGTGCTGCACTTCACATCTGTCATTCTGTTCTGCTGCACACAGGTGAGAGAAGATCCCTGCTCCAGGTCTTCATTGTTCTTCTCAGCATTTTTATTTAATGGTTAATGCTCTGGTTCTGCAAGTGAAGGCACAGACTTTTGTATCCATGCAGAGCCGCCACCTAAGATCAGGGCCCGGGGCTGCTTCTTGACAGGTTGTTTTGCTTTCTGTCTTTTCCTTAGCCAAGAAGGAAACAAGAATTGGTGTTTCCAAATTAAAGAGAACAATCTCTCCTGCCCTTTTCAGGTTGTTTTGTCCTTCCATCTTTTCCTTAGCCGAAAGGAAAACAAGAATTGATTTTTCCAAATTGAAGTGAGCAATCTCTCCTGCCCTTTTCAAAGGAAATGCCACAACAGCTGACATTAATTCGAACTCTACAACTTCAGTAGAGAGGCTCAAAGTTGAGGGTCACCTCACAAATGTGACCCTCAACCCCCAAACGGTTGCTTCCAAGGGGGTAAAGTATATTAATAAAATAAGCCCCTGGTTTAGAGCTGTAGAGTAAAACTTTCCAAAGTAGCTATGGAAACTCACTCAGGTGCCTCTGAAGGTATTACCCAAGTAATACTCTATAGTGGCTACAATGTGTTCCTAGGTAATGCCTTCAAAGGCACCCAAGTGAGAGTCTCCATAGCTACTTTGGAAAGTCTACAGTTTTAAACAACAGTGCCAGGGGCTTATTTTATTAACATACTTCACCCACTTGACCCTCAACCCCCAAACGGTTGCTTCCATCTACAGAAGCATGCACATACATACAAACACAACAACATTGGTGAGGTGGCCCTCAACTTTGAGCCTCTCTGCTGAAGTTGTAGAGTTTGAATTAATGCCAGCTGTTGTGGCATTTCCTGCACTAGAGATACCTGTTCATAAAGAGTTAGATTAGAATTCCAACCCACACAAAACTTTTTCATTTAGCAATTATTCTTGGTCAGATCCAGGGTCATGTGTTATACTTGAGGGTGTCATTTCAAGACCTGAAGTACCACAGCTAGTCCACACCCATGAGATAGTTGTAGAAAAATATTTAGGTATGCTAGCTTGCACAACAGCTCCAAATGCAATCCCTTCATTTCACTTCACATAGGTCTATAGGTATGGATCTACCTCAGAACTAGACTTTGCCCTATTGTGGCCAAAACAAAAGGGATCAATGTTTTGGTAAATTTATTGCCAAAAACCAGCTGCTACCCCAGGAAATCTAAATTTAGTTCCTTTTCTACAGAAGTCAGCCTTGTGCAAACATGCTTTTCACCAGAAAGCACTTTACCAGCTGTATTATGAATTAAATCCTGAATGGCGATCCTAGATTGTAGAGAATGGCTAGAGCAGGCAAGGTAGAGAGGACCACCAGAGGTACATTTCTCCTCCTCTGCTGACCTGCAGAGCTCAGAGACCAAGAGCAACCTTTTCCATCCTTCCTTATTAAAGGGTCATAGAATAAGAGGGACAGAAATAAAAACAAACTCCCCCCACCTAAACCATGCAACATGCAAATAGCATCCAGCTAATCATCCAACAACTAAAAAGAATCAGCTTACCTATCACACAGACCATCTGGCAGTGCCAGGACAAGCCCAAATGATGTTTTTCACTTTTGGAGTCTCACACAGAGACAATAATCCCTCCCCTAAAGAAGTCACCGCCTTTGTCAACTCACCAAAGATAGCCATTCGCTTGTGTGGAAATGAAAGGGGAACAACCTAAGCACCGAAGAGGAATGAACAACGTGACTCTTCAGGATCACTTTTAGGGCTTGGCAAACAGCAGGAGCCAGTTAACAATTAGTGATCAGTCAAACTTACTCCAAGGTCTAAACACAGAAAAAACTCCTGGCACCTTGTTTCAGCATTTGGCTTACTAAAGCTTGCAACACCCCAGAGCATTTCACTCTACCCCACCGTCCTCAGACAAGACCAGATTTAGAGCAAACCTTGAGCCATGTACTCACCCCTCTCAACTCAGTTTCTCATCAACTGTCTCTTGGGGGCAAGTCTCCCCACAATATACAATTCCAAGATGTATCAAAGTTTCTAAAGGGCAATTTCAGTTAGTGCTGACAAGCAGAACCCAGATCTATTATCTGCATCTGGGGCTAATAATTAACTACTGTTCAGACTTCACTAATACCTTTTACTGCTCTCTTAGTCTTTACTAAACCCTCAGCCTAACTCAAACCAGACCCATTCGGCCCCAGTAACTACAGTTAGAATTAGCCACCTTTGGCAGATTTCGGGAGCGTAGGGTAGCAGCAGGGGCTGGAGACAAAGAGTTTTCAGCCCCATTCCCCATGAAGTCAAGTAACAGTCTGCTACCGAGTACAGCTAGTACCACTTGCCAAAAACTAAAGACTTTGTAATGCCTAACATACATAGCCACAACTGGCTAAGGCAACCTATTAAAAGTATAGTCAGCTTCAAAGCCAAGATTACACAGGACAATGAGGTGGACTGGCTGCTGGAACAAGCCCCCTCCCCACAAGACTGCCTACACCACCTCTTTTGGACAGAATCACAAGCTTCTGGAAGTAGTAGGAGTCTTGCCACCACTTATCTATAGCTTTTAGGACCTTTTAACTTGCTTGAACCACCAAAGTTCTTAGGAGCGTCTTCCCATCAGACAAGATTAGGATATCATCCAGCTAATCAACCACTACATGGTGGGCATGCTACAACTCCCTCCCCATTGCCATCCTCCAGAGAGATCCCTTTGGGACTTGAGGGCAAAAGTTTTTGAAGCAGAATTTCCCATGCCAGAGGTTTTTCCTGCAAGAAAGAGCAAAGTCTTAGGAGTAGCCTGAATGCACACATGTAGAGCACAATCCATACAATCCTCATCTAATTCTTCTTTGCTAGAAGCCAAATACAATAAACTTCAGGCCTTTATAAAAAATAATGTTCTCAGCTTTTAGAGATCACTAATCAGCAACCAAGCCAAGAACATAACTGGATCTATATTTCAAAAAGGAGAAGAGAAGGGAAACAAAAAATGTTTCAAAGCAAATTTATGTTACATGAAAGGGGGGATAGGTCAAACAATCTTTGGGATGTTATGCTTTTGGGAATCTGAACGTAACCCACTCCTCAGAGCTGGGTGTACTGTGTGTTCAGGCACCCACTTTGTGTCATTCCACAACATCATGGAGTTTTATTGCCCCAAAATTAAAAAAAAAAAAAGTATAAGTCACCCAATAATCCTCCCCATGACAGAAATCTTTGAAAAAGCCACAGGAAAAGCTTGTTTAGGCAAAGTTATAGACAAACAGATAGCAGAGATGAATCTGACTACACATAACAGACATGTCAAAAAGGAATTTAAAGGATATTTGATTCACTTTAACATGGAAATAAAAGCCGGACAAAAGCAGATACGCTAACAGACTGGATTTGCAAACTTTAAATTCTTTCTTGCTTTAGGCTGATTGATTTCCATAAAGGTGAATACAAAACTCTTGAACTTCAAGTGGCATGGGGAATTTCTCTAAACCTATGTCTATTGCACAAGCATTGCTAGAACTTTTCCTACAGGGCAGTTGAGGCCCCTGGGGTAGGCACAGCTCTGCTGCCAGAGCTATACCAGGCCTACCAAATAACAGAAGCTCTGTTATCAGGTGCCTTCTTCTAATAGCTACACTACCTATAGGGCAAGATCTTTTCAACCATGCAGCTATCTTGCAAAACAATCCTCTAGACAATATAGAGAAGTGCACAAACAGAGCCACACTCCAAATCCCTGCAGAACATGCTGCTCTCTTACCCAATCTAATCTGAGGCGGATTTTGGCAACTGCTAGGGACTAAAGCTGGAACCCCGGAGAGGAAAGCCAAACAGAAAGAATGCAGAAGGCAGATACTGTGTTTTGGAATATGAATGCCTTTCTCCTAGAGACAGATTCCAGCCCTCATCAGGCAAAAGTGAAGCCGGCAAGATAGAGTGGCAGTTGTGCCAAAACATTAGACTCAGGCTTTAAGGTGACCATGATTAAAAGCACAAACCTAGAAATGCTTTTTTATCCCACTTGTATTTCCCATAGCTGCAAAACAGTTCTAACCTCTGCTACAGTATGAACCATGCAGAATTCTTGGAAATAAAAATGAACTTGTATCATACATTTTACCAGTAGCATAACATAAGAACCTACAGTTTGGGAAAGAGCTCTCATCTTCTTTCTTCACCACGTCATCCTTGTATTTTAATTTTCACTTCCTAAACATGTTCTTATCTTCTCTCAAGCAACTTTTGGACTCTCTCTCTTAAAAACATTGATTCCCACCCCACCCCACAGCTTCCAGCCCTTCCCCTTATTCCCAATCAAATTACAATCACTAGAATTCACAACCAAACCAATGCTTTGCTCTAGCCTAGCTTCAGATCCAGTCTGCATTTGCTCTTCTTGTGATGAGCTTGGTCTAAATGCATGATCCAAAGATACTCCAACAGTATTTAAAAAAAAAGATATCCTAATACAATCTGTGCATAAAATCTCATAGTTCTGAGGGCCCATGATACACTTTTAATAAAGGAACACAGGAAACTTGCAAATAAACATGCTACTGTTAGATTTTTAACCTACACGTCACACCTAAGTTTAGTACAGTAGACAAATGTTACCTTTTATGAGTGTGTTCACTTCTGGACATTTGCAAGCACTCTGTTTTGAGTTACATTCAGCATTTCCCTTGGATGATTAGCTTCTCTACTCTGGTAGGCTTGAGAGAGGAGAAACACCAGCTGTCTTTCACACATCCAGATTTACAAGCATTTACAAGTATGCCTATTTCTACAGGAGGGATGATGGGGCAGGTATAACAACCTGAAATTGCTTTGGAATATTTTTTTCAAAACTACCTGGACTGCAATATGGTAATGCCTCTCCTAGCTCGTATGTAGTTGGTGCCTTTCAGTCACAAATCCAAAAATACTTTTAGCAGTAGGCCTAGAGGCATCTGTGTAAGGTGGTGCATTATCACCACATAAGGACAGGGAAGCTGAAGCTAAGTGATGTGCATAAGAACACTTTGCTGACATAAGTACAGGACCCAGGAACCATGATGCACAGTCGCTTTTCCTAATTTGTTAAGAGCAAATTACAGTTTATCACTGACTCACGATCCCTCCATTAGTACAGAACCAGAGCCTACTCTAACACAGCAATCAGCAACATCTCATTTTAAAAGCCTGTTGACCCACTAATCAAAGGTTCAACAGGAAATAAAAAAATAAGAGAACCAGGCTGATGTTAGGAAGTTCATCCAATTCCCTGACACGTCCCTCCAGTATTGGAACAGCTGTCCCATGGCCCTTCGTCCTACTCCCACCATTACTCGGATGTGTAGGGAAGGGCTTGCCAAGCCAGAACCTCAAGACAGAGCACAGTGCTGACTACAGTCACTGCTGCTGCTTCCTGCTGGCTTGAACTCCTGACAGAAACCAGTCACCATCTGCTAACTGCCAAAAAAAAAATAAAAGTGGGACTATTTACCTGGTAGGAAGGCTGGCTTCGAGCCTGCTTTGTGTTTGCTAATAATTTTCAGTAAAGGATAATTGACGATTCCAAGCACAAGAGTGCAGTCATGTTTACACAGTACACGGTAAAAGGTTTTTTTAGTAAAGTGCCACTCTACACTGTACATTTTGAACAGGTTGGTAACCGATTAGTCAGAGGACAGCACTGCTTTTGCCCACACACAACACAATTAAGGTTACCAGACAGGTAAATGCTTAAATTATTCAATAACCAAAAGGGGTAGGGGCCCATTTGATTACCAGAGAAGTTCCCAAGAAATCTCTGACACTTCTGTAGCAGCAGCACATCTCAATACAGAGAAGTGAGCCCTAGTGTAGGAGATGAACACTGAAGATGAGACACCAGAACTGAGAAAGGCATCAAGAACACCCTCTGATGATGGGTTATTGCCTCGGGCCCTGGGCATTTACATCCTCACTTCCAGAATGACTCACTTGTAAGCTGGAAAGCACAACACCCAGGACCAATGAGTTAAAGGCTTTGAAAGTTAATCTACAGTATATAAAGCATTAGAGTTGAATTCATTTGGGATAACTAGCTCCATTATTCTCTGTCCAGGCAGATTCTGGCTTTCAGCTGAACAAAAGGTTAATGAAGCATCAGTGGATTAAAGGGGAAAGATTGGGAATACTTCCAGAAAAGGAGACTGAGAAAAGGAAGAGTTGAGTAGTTTAACAAAGATTTGATTTTCCCTGAACAGAAGCAACATCAACTTGATTATGTCTGGGTCACCTGTCCCTGAAGACACACTTGTGAAGGCTACCAGGGGCTTCTCAGAAAGGTTCATTTGACAGACTATTTTCAGCTCAGCTTCAGGAGGTCTTACAAGCAGGTTCCTGCTAAGCTGTGAGGTGACCTACAAATACAGAAAGGAGACGTTTAAGGGTGTGGTGTTGTATTTTAGGGTGGCATAGAGGGGTCTTTTTGCCAAATAAGGCAGGCCTGAAAAGGGGTGGGAGAGACTGTTCACTTTAATTTGGAAACATCAATTCTTGTTTTCCTCCTGGCTAAGGATAAGAGAGAAGGACAAAGCAATCTGTCAAGAAGCAGCCCTTGGCCCTGATCTTGGGCGCAGCTCTGCATGGATGCATGAGTCTGTGCCTTCACTTGCAGAACTAAAGCATTAACCCTTAATTAAAAATGCCGAGAGGAACATTGAAGACCTGGAGCAGGGATCCTCTCTCACCTGTTTGCAACAGAACAGAATGACAGATGTGAAGTGCAGCACTACAAAGTGCTTCTTTCCTTATGGACTAAAACAGGGGCAGGCAATTATTTTTGCCCACAGGCCACATAGGCAGTTCTGAGGAGCTGCCGTGGGCGGTCAGAACCCCCTCCCTCCCCCCACAACCAACAGCCTGAAGCCCATGTGCCACCGCCAACAGTGCACAGCCCCTCACCTGCCCTGCCTTTCTAGGTCCCTTCTGACCCAAACATCTACAAATTTATTAATCTAGGCACCCCAGGAGGCCGGGTACTACTTGCTGCAGCTGCCTGGAGCCCGCGCCCCAGCTGCCCTGCTGCTCCTCTCCGTTGCTATCACCGCCACCTCTAGTCTGCCCAGCATGGCAGCAGTGGCAGTGCAGAAGAGCAGCAGGGCAGCCTGGGTGCAGGCTCTGGGCAGCTGCAGCAAGAAGGGCCCAGCAGTGGTGAGCGGCCACTTTTCCCTCATGCCAAGCAGCAGCTTCTGCCCAGCCACCACCGCTGCTGCATGGGGTGGGCCTGGCTGGGGCTGTGCGTGTGGGTTCCGGCTGGTCCGCTCTGCCAGGCTGAGTCCAGAGTGGGCCAGGGTCAGGGCTGTACATGCAGGTCCTTGTTAGCACCACAGGGCTGGAGCCAGGGGTGGTGGCAGCCAAAAGCTGTCACTGCTGCCTGGGCTGCCTAGAAAGGCAATCCAGCTGCAAAGCCACTCCAGCCCCTCTACAACCCAAGGGAGCAGCAGGAAGCGCCATGGGATGGACAGCGCTGGGACCAGGCAGGACCAAGGGACCCACCATAGGCCGGACAAAGCCCCTCCATGGGCCGGGTCGGCCCACAGGCTGTGTTTTGCCCCAGCACTGAAAGCTACCCAGGTGTATGGTATGGATCATGCTATACTTACATTCTGGATTATCTGACTTGATTTCTGACCCAATAGTGTGTAAAACCAGAACTACCAGCTTCCAAATGGTATAAGACAGGACGTTCAAGCCAGCAGGCCACAAGTTATCAGACCTTCCAGTCTAATGCTATTCTAATTATTTGTCTTATTTTGCTTTCCCTCAGATTTTGGTGCCAGTCCAATTTAAAACCAAGTTCCTCATGGCTACAGTGAGAAATTAAGGCCACAGGACACACTAAGCAGCTACAAATCCCACCTTTCACAGGATAAAATCAAACGGGAAAGGCATATAAACCACCTTAGCTGGCAGGGCCAGTACAAATGCTCTATGAAACAGCAAACTTTTATGAAAAAATAGACTCTCTTGCTTCTTTCCCCTTTAAATATTCACTGTTGAAATGCCTGATCAGAGCTGCATATTGCATAACACTTCCTGCCCTCCAGATCAACTCCCGTCAGCCAGACAAAGCTCAAAATGGGGAGGAGACTGTTTACATGTCTCCTTATCCCTCCAGCACTGGAGCAGAATGTTAATTTGCATGGTCACCATTTAGGTCCAGGAACAAAGCTGTAATACTTCCTGCTTAGGAAAACCAACATTGTTTCCCACAGACAGGCAAGTCATGGCATGTTGCTGGTGCCAGACAACTGCAGCTCCCTCCATCACTGGCCAATTGTAGTTTCCTTGAACTAGAAGGAGCAAGGCTGGAGTGAGTATGTAACAATGGCATGTAGAGAGACAGCGATGACTGGCAGGTCTCTGTCCTTGTCAAAACAACATTCTTATGTTACTGGAGTGATCAGAAAGGATGTATGCAACACCCACACCAAACTAGTCACATGGACTCCCAGCCTGGCCCATCCTCCCACCTCCTCATCCCCTGCCACCTTGCAATGTTTTAAAGCTCAACTGTGCACTCTTAGGCGAGGTCCCAAGGCAGAACTGCTCTCGGCTGCACTTGCTTGTGCCCACTCTAAACTGTGACAGAACCTGGGGCTTTTGTATCTTGGAACTGCACCAAGGCTTTTCAAGTCGGGGCTCTGAAGCCTCAGCAGCTTCCAGGAACAACAAATGAATAAGGCAGTGGTGGAATTTGGGGCACAAGAACAGAAGTAGGCCTGAGCTCGTCATTAAGATGATCCCTTCCTAATGCATGTTCTTTACATCCATGTTCAGAGACAGGCTGCACTGGGAAGTGCAAGTCAGATACCAAGTGGCAAAGATCTGAGAGATGGATACCATTATACATCAGGCCAGCAGCAGTGTTGTGTACTCAAAGCTCACACACACAAGCACTTTACTTGGAGACCCTGCAGCACTCATGTCAAATTGCATAAGCTCAGTACGTAGCTTGGAACTCTTTTAATGAAGGCTTGGTGTATGGCTGATGACTGTGGGTGACTGATACAGGGGCAAGGAGGGAACACTGCTCTTTGAGTCACTGCCCCCAAATAGCGCTAGTGATCACATACTAAGAGAGGTGTTGCTTTGGATAGGACATGAGGGCATGGAGCTGTCACTGGGATCCCACCCAACTGAGCAAATACAAAATGCCTCCCTAAAACATCCTCCACAAGGTCACTCCCTTAAGTTATTCCTGTTCATTACATGTCATAAACTGATCAGTTGCCTGCAACGATAAACAGCTGCTATGTTCTGCTGTACCCTTGAACATCTACCAGCACCAAGAGGGAAGCACATGACCAAAAGAATCTCCACGGTGTTCAGGAAAGCCAGGTGTCCCCCAAGTGTACAATGCAAGAATTCTCACTCCGCACAGGGATCATACGTTATTAAATCCTCTGCCATCAATGGTACATAGATGCACGTAAATCAGCCCTCCCTCCACACGTCCCTCAGGGAAGAATCAAGAGCTCCTGCACTCCTGCAAGTGTCTCCCTGCCATTCTGCCAAGGCACGGGGTGCTCAAATGTGGCCCATGGAGCCATGGACTGTAGGGCTCCCCACAGACTGGGAAGTTTGACAGTGGGGGGCCAGCAACATTCAATACCACCACCCTTCCCCCTGCCAAATTCCAAAAATCCCAGCCCCTGTGCAGCAGGTTGAGGCCCTACCCCCCCATGCCTGGGATGGGGGGTCTGACCATGCCCCCTTCTCCCTCTCGCTTCTCCCCCTACGACAGCTGGCCCAGGGCTGCAACTGCCCCAGGCACCAGATCAGGACCACCAGCTGGATGCACTGCCCATCCAAGCCACTGGCCTTGCACTCATTTTTAAATGGGTCACAACTCGTGCAGCAAGGCAGTGCCATCATCCTCATTTTACAGATGGGGAAGTGAGCCAGACAGACTAGGTGCCTTGCTCAGATGCACCCAGGAAGGTCTCCCTTGTCCCAGGCCCGGAGCTCAAGCACTTTGCGGAGTCCCCTGGGACCACAACCCCCAGGAGAAGCACAAAGCAGGGAGCCACACAAGGAAACCCAACCAACAGCCGATTCCCCCTGGCGGGAGCAGGAACAGCAGCCCATCGAACAGCGGCAGACGGCGAGCAGAGGCCTCCCCTGCGGCAGGGTGTCACAGAGACGCGGGGCCGGGCGGGAGCTCCAGGGGTGTCTAGTCCAGCCCCATGCAAACCACCCCACACACCCGCCACATCAACTCTGCCAGCCTTGACCTGACACCGGCCCCTGCTGCAGAGGAAGGCAGTCCCCCCGCATCTGACCCCGAGCCGGGATCGGTCTGCCCCGAGCGGAGGGCAGGACCCTGCACCCGAAAGCCGCCGCCTCTGCTCCCAGCACGGCACTAGCACAGCCGGGAAGGTGCAACCCACGACACGACACATGCAGGAGCGTGGACGCCGCAAGGCGAGGAGCGGCGAGTTTGGGCCGCGGGTAACCATGGGCCCAAGGTGACCCCTCCTCCCACCGCGCGGCACTCACGGCTTCCACGCAGGACGCGACTCATTCACGGGACTCTGCGGACCCCGCCCCTTCCTGCCCGGCACGGCCATTCGCCACGCCATTGGCTGGCGGGGCGCTCACGTGACGCCACGCTGGCCGCGCCCCCTGC